ACCTGGATTTCCTTGATGACCACCGGGCGGACCAGGTGCTTGTCCCGAATTTCCATACGGCCCTCCCCTTGGCCAACCATAACCCCCCATAGGTCCGGTGTTTCCTCCCGGAAATGCAAAACCTCCTTGAGGTCGTTGATCTTGTCCTGCAGGTGCTCCTACAACTTGGGCTTGAGGATTATACCATTGATTGGGTTGTTCACCCATGAAACAGGGGCTTATGTTTTCCATGGCTCCCATGCAAGGAGCTCCCATCGGTGGTCTTGGCGCCGCTCCCTGCGGCATTCCATTCATCCACCCTTGATTCATGTACACATCCATCGGCCGAAAACCTTGTTCGACCTTGGGCGCAGGAGGCGCATTCCACAACTGACCTCCCGCCTTCATTTGAAGATCTTGATCATGGTGGTGTTGAATTCCCGGAACTGGTTGATCTAGCAAATGTTGTCCTTGGGGTGGAACACCTTGAGATGGCCCCACAGGAAAACACTGCTCGACATTCTTCAGCTCCGGCGAGGCGGTTTGATAAGACCCCCCACTTGACTGAGAGCCCTTGTGACCTCCTCCTGCTTCTTGGACCCGTTCCCGGGCATGTCTCTCTTCCCGCGTGGCTAACCAATTTTCTCGATCTTGTTGGATCTCGGTCTTGCCCCGTTGAAAGAATTCCACCGTTTGTTGTTTCAACTCCTCATACTTTTCCTTCTCCCTCGCGTCCGCCTGATCAATCAGGTCTTGCGACACTGTGGGATAAGTCAGCTCTTTCACTGGAGTTTGTGGGCTGCTCATTAGAGCTTCCACTCGCTTTGCAGCACTCCATGGATTCGTTTCTTCTGCAGCCATGACCCCGGTTACCATCCCAGGATCCACAACCGCTGTTCCCCACTGAGGCACCATTCCCGTAGGTGGCACTCCAGCACACATGGATTGCTGGGACATCCCAGCTGCCTGTGAACCCTGTGCCCCACCAGTTGCGGCGTACACCACAGGTGGTCCCATTGGCTGGTAGCTCACAGGTGGACCTGTTGGCGCCGCTGGCACCACTGGTTTGATACGTGCATCTTCAGGAGATTCAACAGGTGAACGTCCCGGTCTCTCCAAAAGAGCAACTGTTCCCACAACAGCAGCTGCACCTCCACCCACTTCAGTTGAGCTTTGGTGTTTTCCACCCTGTTCTTCTTCTCGATTACCCACAACAGGTGGTTCACGAAATCCCTCAGACATCCGGGCAACTACTGGTGTTTGTGTCATTGCTCCCGAAAGAGTTAGACTATTCACCCCTGGGGTCAAACCAGACAACAGACCACCATTCCCTTTTCCTCGTACCACTTCAAGTCCAGGAGGTTCTTCAGGTGGTAAGGACACTGGTCTTGCGACTTCTTCCGCAACAGCCGGATTCTGGGCAATTTGTTCGCCCGCTCCAGCTCGGACCGCCGCAACCTGCACTAGGGCACTAGGGCTCCACTTCCCCCAGCACTGGTCAGTGCCATCCCACTTTCTCCAACTCCCTTTCCCATCAGTGATCTTCGGGTCGAGTCTGATGATCTTGTCCCTGTTTTCCCCCATGTTCTTGTCCAGGTGTGTCCATCTCCTCCAGAAGTCGATCCAGCATTTGGTCTGCCGTTTCCTCGCGTTCTTCTTTTCCATGGGTCCCATGTTGTACTTCTTCAGCATGAGCAGCCGCTTGAACTTGGCGTTCTTGTCGACGACGCTGAGTGAAGTCGCTGCTCGACATGGCTTCAAGGCAGCGTTTGGGTTGGGCCCAGAACCCACGGGTTCTAAAGTCAGACCGAGTCCCTTCCCGGAGGTCCCCACCAAGAGGCAGATGCAGCTGCACCTTTTCACTCCAGATTGGGCTCGGTGATCTTGAGCCAGTCAGTTGATTGGCCCTTGAGCTAATTGAATGGCTTGAGCCATAGTTGCAACAGTCGGAGGACGTCTCAACGACTGTAAAAACTTTAAAACGACCTTAGTGGGGTGCAGTGGTACTCTGTGCTGTTTTCCCAACCGCATATATATATATAAGGATGTTCAACTCATGTCAAATTTGTTGATAGCTCACATCCCCTCAGAGATCGCGGCCCCTCTGCAGCCTGGAGCAGCACGGAAAATCATGGAGATCACCCACAACTGAATGGTGATTATGGGCAATTGTTCGTATTTAATAAGCAACAATACTAAATATTATTGTTGGTATTAATAACATTTAGTATTATTATTATTTATTAACTGACATGTTCTTTCCAACCAATAATAAATATGAATAAATGGTGCGTCGAAATTGGGGATAAAATGGGGTAGGGAGAAATTCACTGGCAGAACTAGCAGGATCTTTGACTTCGCCAGCCAAAAAACTGGATATCTACCGAATTTCAGAAAAAATGGTAGGGAAGCAGTGAAACCTTGGAAAATGAAAGTTAAACATAGTTAAACACAGTTAAACCAATCAAGAGGTCTTGGACATAGAACTGTTCCAGGAAGCTCAACTCCGGGACAAAAACAAAAATGAATCGATTTTGTCACCAAATCTGCAGCCCCACATTGTTTAAGATGAGTTTGTGATTGCCGGCTGTGTCCCCAAGTATTTCACCCACAAGCTGGTCATGGACTCAACCGCCGCTGTCACCCCAAGATCAAGAGAGAAGCGATAGGGCCGATAGGGGGTCCAACTGCGCGGACATCTGCCCACTTCCCCACTGCTCCCGAGCGAGGTCTTTTTACAGCCAAACGGCCAACCGCATCGATTCTCAGCTCCACTTTGTTTGAAACAGAGTGGCACTGTCGGCCTCTTGATGATCCCGGACAACCAAAAAAGAGGCGCTTCAGCCATCCTCACAACTATTTAATCTGACTTTGGAGGAAAGCCCTGAATTCCTTATATGCAATTTCTCCCTGCTCATTGTAGAATTTCAAGGTCAAATCCCATGCATCTGGATTTCCCTCATAGATCGACAGCTCTCTCAAAGATGCTGCCAGTCGCTTCTGAATCTTTTCCTCTGTCTCAGTGCCCCTTCCACGCAAACGCTGCTCAAGCACAGCTGCAGTGGGTGGGGCAAAAAATACAAAGGAACACATCTTTGACAAAGATGATTTTCTCACTGATTCTGCACCTTGGACGTCAATGTCCAGCAGACACACTCTACCTTTCTTCATTACATCTTGCACTGCGGCAATGGAAGTTCCATAGAGGTTTCCGTGGACTTCCGCATGTTCCACAAAAAGCCCAGCATCAATGTCACGCTTCATCTGCTCACGAGTCACAAAGTGATAGTCAACCCCATCTTGCTCTCCAGGACGAGGATCCCTTGTGGTGTGTGACACAGAAAAACCAAAATCATGCGGAAACTCTGCCAGAAGCTTCTTGATCAATGTGGACTTGCCTACTCCACTGGGGCCAGTGATCACGCAACAACCACCTTTGATGGGAGGAGAGCCTCTGACAGTGGCGATTGGACCAGCAGGTAGTTTGGGAATTTGATCATAGAGGAAGGTTCGAAATTCTTGATATGCAGTTTCTCCCTGCTCATTGTAGAATTTCAAGGTCAAATCCCATGCATCTGGATTTTCTTCATAGATCGACAGCTCTCTCAAAGATCTTGCCAGTCGCTTCTGAATCTTTTCCTCTGTCTCAGTGCCCCTTCCACGCAAACGCTGCTCAAGCACAGCTGCAGTGGGTGGGGCAAAAAATACAAAGGAGCAAATCTTTGACAAAGATGATTTTCTCACTGATTCTGCACCTTGGACGTCAATGTCCAGCAGACACACTCTACCTTTCTTCATTACATCTTGCACTGCGGCAATGGAAGTTCCATAGAGGTTTCCGTGGACTTCCGCATGTTCCACAAAAAGCCCAGCATTAATGTCACGCTTCATCTGCTCACCAGTCACAAAGTGATAGTCAACCCCATCTTGCTCTCCAGGACGAGGATCCCTTGTGGTGTGTGACACAGAAAAACCAAAATCATGCGGAAACTCTGCCAGAAGCTTCTTGATCAATGTGGACTTGCCTACTCCACTGGGGCCAGTGATCACGCAACAACCACCTTTGAAGGGAGGAGGACGTCTCTGCGTGGCAACCTGCAACTTGGCTGGTCATTGCCAGTGACCACACTATTTGGGGAAAGAATTTGGAGTGGTTCCCGTGTCAAACATCGAATCTGCCCAAATTGCGTGTTCCATCTTCAAGAATCAACTCTGCCCCTCTGCAAATGAAACCGGAAAGCAGCTCTTTCCTTCAATCTATCACTGGTTGGTAAGCCGAAATAACACCTTTGGTGGTGATTGTCATCCCAAAACTTGAAAAGTTGTTAAACTGCAACCACTCGTATCAGTTCTACATAACTATCCTTCTGTTTGGTGAAATCTGGGAAAACTCCTGATTTTCACTGCGTCGCCTGGCTGTTCTCAGAGCAGCGGTAGTCGTGCATCTTGCTGCGATACACCACCGCCACGGCCACCCCCGCCGCCATCCATCGGCCCAGCGGCCGCCCGGACCGCAGGGACCGCAGACGGAGAGGCAACGCTGCGCCGAAGCGGCGCCATGGTATGGCAAGGGCACGGCGCATGGACCAATGCGTTGAGGATGAAACACGAATGAGACGTCCAGAAATTTCGGAGCGCTTCCATTGGATGATGGTGTTTTTCACAAACCCCTGCAATCGATTTTGACCCATGACCCAAGTTTGTACCATGTGGGCTTCAAGTCAGCACTTGAGAATACCAATACAGCGATGACAAGCGGAATAAAACAATATGACATGTGATGATTGTGAAGAATGTGTTCTGTCGATCGCTGCTTGGATTGAATCCTCAACAAACAATGTGGATAGTGTGGCTCCAGAAATACTAAGTTTCTCTACTTGCTGTACCAAAATCTCCAAGCAAAACCGTCAAATGTCGGGGTCAATCATTTTTCAGCCAATCCCATGTGCGCACGGTTGAAATTTCCCCTCCCATCACTGAGATGAATGAGCACGTCACATCGAAGCCACCAACGGGCGCACTTTTCACCGGCCACCTGCGAGTCATTCCTAGCTTCACTTTGTTTGAAACAGAGTGAAACTAATCGCCATCAAGGCTTCGTTTCTGGCATGCCCACACAGTGACACACCCCTAAAATACCGAAGCAAACTCTCCCAACTACTTCATTTGCTCGTAGAGGAAGGTTCGAAATTGCTGATATGCATCTTCTACCTGCTCATTGTACCACTTCAAAGTCAAATCCCACGCATCTGGATTTCCTTCATAGATGGACAGCTCTCTTAAAGATCCTGTCAGTCGCTTCTGAATCCTCTCCTCTGTCTCAGTGCCTCTTCCACGCAAACGCTGCTCAAGCACAGCTGCAGTGGGTGGGGCAAAGAACACAAAGGAACAAGTCTTTGACAATGAGGACTTTCTCACTGATTCTGCACCCTGGACGTCAATGTCCAGCAGACACACTCTGCCTTTCTTCGTGACTTCCTGCACTGCTGCAATAGAGGTTCCATAGAGGTTTCCGTGGACTTCCGCATGTTCCACAAAAAGCCCAGCATCAATGTCGCTCTGCATCCGTTCACGAGACACAAAGTGATAGTCAACCCCATCTTGCTCTCCAGGACGAGGATCCCTGGTGGTGTGTGAAACAGAAAAACCAAAGTCATCTGGAAATTCCGCCATAAGCTTCTTGATCAATGTGGACTTGCCGACTCCACTGGGGCCAGTGATTACGCAAGCACCACCCTTGAAGGAAGGAGGGCGTCTGACAGTGGCGATTTGACCAGCAGGTTGCTTGGGAATTTGGTCATAGAGGAAGGTTCGAAATTCCTGATATGCATCTTCTACCTGCTCATTGTACCACTTCAAAGTCAAATCCCACGCATCTGGATTTCCTTCATAGATGGACAGCTCTCTTAAAGATCCTGTCAGTCGCTTCTGAATCCTCTCCTCCGTCTCAGTGCCTCTTCCACGCAAACGCTGCTCAAGCACAGCTGCAGTGGGCGGGGCAAAGAACACAAAGGAACAGGTCTTTGACAATGAGGACTTTTTCACTGATTCTGCACCTTGGACGTCAATGTCCAGCAGACATACTCTGCCTTTCTTCGTGACTTCCTGCACTGCTGCAATAGAGGTTCCATAGAGGTTTCCGTGGACTTCCGCATGTTCCACAAAAAGCCCAGCATCAATGTCGCTCTGCATCCGTTCACGAGACACAAAGTGATAGTCAACCCCATCTTGCTCTCCAGGACGAGGATCCCTGGTGGTGTGTGAAACAGAAAAACCAAAGTCATCTGGAAATTCCGCCATAAGTTTCTTGATCAATGTGGACTTGCCGACTCCACTGGGGCCAGTGATTACGCAAGCACCACCCTTGAAGGAAGGAGGGCGTCTGACAGTGGCGATTTGACCAGCAGGTTGCTTGGGAATTTGATCATAGAGGAAGGTTCGAAATTCCTGATATGCATCTTCTACCTGCTCATTGTACCACTTCAAAGTCAAATCCCACCCATCTGGATTTCCTTCATAGATGGACAGCTCTCTTAAAGATCCTGTCAGTCGCTTCTGAATCCTCTCCTCTGTCTCAGTGCCTCTTCCACGCAAACGCTGCTCAAGCACAGCTGCAGTGGGTGGGGCAAAGAACACAAAGGAACAAGTCTTTGACAATGAGGACTTTCTCACTGATTCTGCACCCTGGACGTCAATGTCCAGCAGACACACTCTGCCTTTCTTCGTGACTTCCTGCACTGCTGCAATAGAGGTTCCATAGAGGTTTCCGTGGACTTCCGCATGTTCCACAAAAAGCCCAGCATCAATGTCGCTCTGCATCCGTTCACGAGACACAAAGTGATAGTCAACCCCATCTTGCTCTCCAGGACGAGGATCCCTGGTGGTGTGTGAAACAGAAAAACCAAAGTCATCTGGAAATTCCGCCATAAGCTTCTTGATCAATGTGGACTTGCCGACTCCACTGGGGCCAGTGATTACGCAAGCACCACCCTTGAAGGAAGGAGGGCGTCTGACAGTGGCGATTTGACCAGCAGGTTGCTTGGGAATTTGGTCATAGAGGAAGGTTCGAAATTCCTGATATGCATCTTCTACCTGCTCATTGTACCACTTCAAAGTCAAATCCCACGCATCTGGATTTCCTTCATAGATGGACAGCTCTCTTAAAGATCCTGTCAGTCGCTTCTGAATCCTCTCCTCCGTCTCAGTGCCTCTTCCACGCAAACGCTGCTCAAGCACAGCTGCAGTGGGCGGGGCAAAGAACACAAAGGAACAGGTCTTTGACAATGTGGACTTTTTCACTGATTCTGCACCTTGGACGTCAATGTCCAGCAGACACACTCTGCCTTTCTTCGTGACTTCCTGCACTGCTGCAATAGAGGTTCCATAGAGGTTTCCGTGGACTTCCGCATGTTCCACAAAAAGCCCAGCATCAATGTCGCTCTGCATCCGTTCACGAGACACAAAGTGATAGTCAACCCCATCTTGCTCTCCAGGACGAGGATCCCTGGTGGTGTGTGAAACAGAAAAACCAAAGTCATCTGGAAATTCCGCCATAAGTTTCTTGATCAATGTGGACTTGCCGACTCCACTGGGGCCAGTGATTACGCAAGCACCACCCTTGAAGGAAGGAGGGCGTCTGACAGTGGCGATTTGACCAGCAGGTTGCTTGGGAATTTGGTCATAGAGGAAGGTTCGAAATTCCTGATATGCATCTTCTACCTGCTCATTGTACCACTTCAAAGTCAAATCCCACGCATCTGGATTTCTTTCATAGATGGACAGCTCTCTTAAAGATCCTGTCAGTCGCTTCTGAATCCTCTCCTCCGTCTCAGTGCCTCTTCCACGCAAACGCTGCTCAAGCACAGCTGCAGTGGGTGGGGCAAAGAACACAAAGGAACAGGTCTTTGACAATGTGGACTTTTTCACTGATTCTGCACCTTGGACGTCAATGTCCAGCAGACACACTCTGCCTTTCTTTGTGACTTCCTGCACTGCTGCAATAGAGGTTCCATAGAGGTTTCCGTGGACTTCCGCATGTTCCACAAAAAACCCAGCATCAATGTCGCTCTGCATCCGTTCACGAGACACAAAGTGATAGTCAACCCCATCTTGCGCTCCAGGACGAGGATCCCTGGTGGTGTGTGAAACAGAAAAACCAAAGTCATCTGGAAATTCCGCCATAAGCTTCTTGATCAATGTGGACTTGCCGACTCCACTGGGGCCAGTGATTACGCAAGCACCACCCTTGAAGGAAGGAGGGCGTCTGACAGTGGCGATTGGAAGTGTTTCTGAGGCCACAATTTTACCTTGGGGCCAGTGGCTGGGAGTGGAAGAATCAAGGTCATGAAGGATGGCTTTCAAAGTGGGCCAAAAATATCCAAAAATGTTTGTTGTCATCTAACGAAGATCCAACAAAAGTGTTTGATATTTGGTGTATATATATATAAATAATAGAATATAATTTATTTTATTTCTATTCTATTTTATTATATAAAACATTATTATACAATACAATACAATACAACACAACACAACACAACACAACACAACACAATACAACACAATACAATACAATACAATTACAATACAATTACAATACAATTACAATACAATACAATACAATACACTACAATATAATATGATATGATGTCAAATGATATCATATAATATAATATGATACCATTAGTACCGCACAAGGCGGGCGGAAGTTTCAGAAATAGAAAACCTATAGGAGAGGTTGGTTGTTGTGAATCACGGGTGGCAGAGCGAAGCCACTGATGGACCGAAAGTTGGTTGAGGTCTCTTTCTCTGACTATCTACCTACCTACCTACCTACCTATCCATCTATCTATCTATCTATCCATCCATCTATCCATCTATCCATCTATCCATCTATCCATCTATCCATCTATCCATCTATCCATGTATCTATCTATCTATCTATCTATCTATCTCTCTATCTCTCCCTCTCTCTCCCTCTCTCTCCTTTCATCGAATTATCTATCTATCTATCTATCTTTCTTTCTTTCTTTCTTTCTTTCTTTCTTTCTTTCTTTCTTTCTTTCTTTCTTTCTTTCTTTCTTTCTTTCTTTCTTTCTTTCTTTCTTTCTTTTTTTCTTTCTTTCTTTCTTGCTATCTATCTATTTTTCTATCTATCTATCTCTCTCTCTCTCCCTGTCTGTCTGTCTATATATCTATCTTTCTATCTATCTATCTGTCTATCTATCTATCTGTCTATCTATCTGTCTATCTATCTATCTCTCTGTCTGTCTGTCTATCTATCTGCAAGCTTGAAAACGAAGCTATTCTGCGAGACTTCCTCAGTTTTCTCAATTTGACAACATCAAAAACGCAGCGATTCAGCGAGACTTCCTTCCAAAATGGAAAGCTGAGTGCAGAGCTGAAAGCCTCGTACCACTGCGTTTTGCGATTTTTCGACTCCACCTGTCTAAACTACTGCGCCTGCCACGAAAAAGTGATGCCGGGTCATGCGAAGTGCTGCATCTGTCACGCAAAATAATTTGAGCAAACCGGAAGATCTGATGCTCCAAAATGCAACCTCTCTCAGGAAATCAGCGCCCGGACCTCCTAACAGCTCTGATGAACATGTCTCTTGTACTGCACCTGCCACGGAAAATCCATCTTTGCAGATCCTCTTCAAGTGTCCCACGCCTGCCATCGTTTTTGGCAATGCTACAAAACCCTCACGTTTTGCTCACTTTTGACAAGGTGCACAATCCCTTGCGCCTGCCTCGCGAAACGACACCTGAACCTCCAAAAGTGGCCCGTACCCCTCAGTTTTTTGCACTTTTGACTTCGAAATGTGCTTCGCGCCACAACGGCGTCCACTTTTTCCACATCTCAACTTCCAAAAGTGGTCCGAAGCTGGTGTGCTTTCTACATTTTGACTTCGAAGTGTGCTTCGCGCCACAACGGCGTCCACTTTCTCGATATCTCAACTTCCAAAAGTGGTCCGAACCTGGTGTTTTCTATTTTTTGACTTCGACATGTGCTTCGCGCCACAACGGCGTGCACTTTTTCGACATCACAACCCGGAGCTGGTGTGTTTTCTACATTTTGACTTCGACATGTGCTTCGCGCCGCAACGGTGTGCATTTTTCGACATCTCAGCTTCCAAAAGTGGTCCGGACTTGGTGTGCTTTCTACATTTTGACTTGGAAATGTGCTTCGCGCCACAACGGGGTGCAATTGTTCATCTCTCATCTGGCCAGCTGGCTCCGCGCCCGCTGCTTTAGCGATCCTACTCGACCCTCCGGAGCCTCAATGAGGAAAAATACAGTGTTTCGCGCTTTTCCTACCTTTTCGCGCACCTGGATCTTCTTTCTTCTGAGACTTTCGCTTTTTTGATCTTCTTTTCTTCTTTCTTCTTCTCTTCTCTTCTCTGACTCTTCCCACCTCTGATTTTCATTTGTCCATGTTGTCGGAAGTTTGACTTCTAGACTTTCTTCGATAATATAATATAATATAATATAATATAATACAATACATATAATATAATATCATATAATATAGTATAATATAGTATAGTATAATATAATATAATAAAAGATAAGATGATATGATATAATATAATATAGTATAAGTTAAAATATGATATAGTATAATATATTATAATATAGTATATATAATATAATATAATATAATATAATATAATATGATATAATACAATATAATATAATATAATGTTATATTATACTATATTATATTATAATATATTATAATATAATATAGTATAATATAATATAATACTATTTAATATAAGATCAGATGATATTATATGATATAATATTATATAATATAATATATATAGGAAATATAATATATAAGACATAATATATTGTATATTATATATATATTATATTATATATTATATACTATATATATATATATGCATGTAACCTATTGATGCCCATTTTGCCAAGTCTCCTTCCAACTGCTCACGCATCCACTGAAACGGATCCGGGGGCTTCTCCACCAAAAGCGAGGTCACGAGAACTTTCAAGTATTCGGCGATGGAATGTTTTGCCAAGTAGGCACCATTCTCCTGCAACAGGCCCGGTAGGCTGCTGGAATTTCACAACTCGCCCAGCGAAAAGTATGAAGCTACCAACAAGCATGACAAGCCCTGACCAACAAGAAGGTACGGATACCAGCGCGCCGCAGAAATGACACCCAACTTGGCGTTGGGTCAAAAAAAGACCCAACTTTAGTTAGCATTCAGTGATTCTTGATGGTGGATATTAAATATGGGCCAAAATTTCAAAGCCCCTCAAAGGTTCCCAGTTTTTCCTGGGAAAATTTGGGAATTCATGTGATTTCATGATTTCACCCATCCCCCTCCCGGGCGGAACCGGCAGCAACTCCTCTTGGCTGTCAGATGTTGGATATCCACCCGGAGTTTCGGGATGGCCGGGCTGCTGCAGGATCTCCACCTGCACCAAGGACAGCCCTTGAGTAAAGGTTATCCAACCTGGTTATGACATTCACAGTTTGCGAACTGGAAAAACTACCACCATGCTATTAAGAACGGTAAACCCAGTTGTTCACCATCTATTTCGATTAGGGCCATCAACAACCCATGGCGAACTGTGAATGTCATAACCAGGTTGGGTAATCAGCTCAGAAAATCAAAAGTTTGTCTCTGACCCTGACTCCTCTCCCAATCACATGTCCTACCAGGCCACATTCAACTTCTGCTATTTGAAGTGGAAGGTCTACGAGTACCATGCGTAGCCCCCCATCCAAAGTTTTCTATCGAAGTTTACTCCTAAAACTGTTCGGGAACAAATCCAATGGTTTCTCCATTTTAATAGGCTTTTCCCTTTATAAACATTTATAAACATTTATAAACCATCCATTTTGGGGTACCCCTTATAGAAAGCCTCATTTTCAGAGCCTCATCCCTTTTCCCAGTGATGTCCCGGCGCCTCCAAATCAATCCCTTGCTGCGGAAGTGCCACAGAAAACTGCCGCTGCCCCGGGGGGGACACCACCTGCACACTGCCCGCCACACGCAGAACCTGCGGAGGTGGAGGAGGTGAAAATCTCAGCCACAAAAGAACTGGGTTTCGGCCACAAAAAGAAGGGGATCATTTCGAAAAAACTCGGTCAAATGGAGGGAATCTACTCTGAGATCCACCATTGAAGGACATCAAATCATCAACGGATTGTCCTCCCCGGTCCACCAAGGTAGCAGAAAATGCTCCAATGGATGAGATCAGATCCATGGGATGATGGGTTAGGTCACTTTGTTTATGGGAAAATGTCTAGGTGTTTGTGTTGAAACCCATTTTTGGTGCCTTAGATTCCAATCTTTATGCTTCAGAACGATGTTCTTATGGTTGAAATCCCAGTTTTCTTCATAGTTCAAGGCCTTTTTTTCACAGCCCCCCCTCAACCCGCCTCCAATTTCAGGTTCCCAGCGCTGGGTTTGGGAAAGTTCCATAGCTTTCCCAGTTCCAGGCGGCGGATGATCCTGCGCAGTGATAGAAGTCATAAGGATTTTCCGAGGATACCATAGGGATATATTCATACAATAGAAATCGAAAGTGCAGAAACTTGCGGAGACAGGAATTTTCCAGTGGACATGTTGATTTTTGGATATATCATGCGTGGTATATATATATATATGCACATATTTATATATAGATATATACATACATATGCGCATATACGCATATATACATATAGACGTATATACCTATAGACATATAGACATATAGACATATAGACATATAGACATATAGACATATAGACATATAGACATATAGACATATAGACATATGTACATATACGTACACACATATCTACTATGTATATTGTGGGATTTAACTTTCAAGAACGCGGATATAATCGTGATCTATCATTGAGCACGGGGATATAGTGACTATAGTGGGAATGTAATGGGGATGTATATATATATATGCATGATGAGATGATGAAATTATATGAGGATAAAGCCAACAATATGATATGGGTAACTTTTTCTAAGGGTATTTTTTTAAATGGGAGAACCCCGAAATCATCCAAAATTGACAAGTGGTTCGCTGAAAAACATGATTGTGGGTCCTCCATTCTATGAAACCCCATATGAGGATCATCCTAAGTATTCTGACCTGTGATTAGTACTCTTCGATGAGCAATGACATCTATGGATATCAACGTGATGATGGTGGAGTACTAGAAAAGGGTATTTATGTTCGGTTTTGACATGTATGATATTTGTATATTAGAGTTATACAAGGTATACATGATAAACGAATGATCATTGCACATGGTGATGTCGGATGAGTTATGAGAATCTAGTTTTTTGGTAGATATATATATATATACATACATTATCCATATGATATGATCTGTGTGATCCATATCTGCCTGCGAAACTGTATTGTGATATCATGAGATGATAAAACATGATGTAGAATGGTATTTTACGGATGATAAAATGATAAAATCATTCCCAGGGAACTGATGTTGTAGATGTAGAATGGTCTGATGATAATAAAATGGCTCATCTGATGTATCAAATTGATGATATTTTTCAGATGATGTATTGGTTGATATATCAGGGCCCTGGGCGGGAACCCTGGTGGGATCAATGAACCCAAAAAAAACAAGGGTTCCGTCCCTTGCGTTTGACTTCAAGGGGAGGGGGTTATAGATTGTAGATGTTAAATTATAGATTTTAGACTATAGTTTTTATGGATTTTCATTGTGATCATAATTAGATTATTAATGATGATTAATTGATGATTAATCATCAGGGTGTGGCCCTTTGTGAGAAAGGACTATCACCATTCAATGTGTCGCCAGCCACTCCTTTGTCCAGAGCTTGTAATACTGAGATAATGATCACGGCAGGTTCCACTCGCACGCTTCACTTGGAGATGCATGGCGCGCCGCTAAATTCCATCCACGGAAGATGCCCGTTGGTATGCCAACATGTCAAGGTTCAAGGTTCACGGTGGATGAACATTGCCCAAAATTCAAGGAAATCCCACTTTTAAAGATTTTAAAGGTCCGTTTGCACAGTTTGTTGCAACCATTTGACATGTGTTGTGATGACTCACTGTTTGCTGAACTCTCAAACGGATGTCACTTGTAGTTCGGGACGCTCGGGACGCGGCGAAGAACCTCCGGTGACCAAGTTTCCACCATATCACGGCGACTTCCGACAGCAAGCCCACGCCTCCCCAAGCCATCACACCGCGGACAAAACAAAGATTTTTTGCAATGTAAACCGATGTAAACCCATGAAACGTCAATGAGTTGCAACACTAAAACGACCATTCTAAAAAAACATGCAAACATATCTAGACCTATATCGTAACCAAAAATCAAAGGACTCCTCGGTGATTGGTGTCCTTCAATGAAATAGACCAGCAACTGGTTGAATTTTGGTGGTCTGAAACTTTGGCCCATGTTGCAACTGAAAGTAACCCGTTCAGTTTGCATAGAAAGAAGACGTGATAAGAGCTGCAGTGGACACCGAATGAGTTGAACAAGGCGCTGAAAATTCCTGAAATGTGGTGTTAAAATTTGCAAATCACCCTTTTCCTGTAAAGAACACATTCGGGTAGTAAAAAAATATACGATGTGGCGCCGCACATGATATCACATAACCAAATATAAATCACTGCATACGCGTTTATAAAAGTTCAAGTTCTCAAAAATAATTTTTAGTCAAACAAAAACATGTGCAGAGAAAACAACGGCTGTCAGTTTGTATTGATATTTCCTTTTTTGCAAGAGGGGCGGCAGCAATCACTCCCGTTTCACTTGAACCACGGGCCCGTGCAGATACATGTGATTTTCAACGCAAATGTCCAAAAATGTTCATGAACTGAGTCTCGATTTCTGCGTTTCATCCTTGTGCAAGTGGCCATGTCATGCTGTTGAGTGTCGCTACAAAGGATTTCCATTTTTGCACGACTTACTTCGAGTCCGGGGAAACATCCAAATTGCTGAGAACTGAGCTGAATGCGCAGTTGTTGGAATGGTATTTCGCTTGACGTGCTCAATTTGTTCGCCCTCCTCTCCCCAGGAAAAGGCACTGGCGGAGTGGGCCGAAACATAACTCACGTGGGATTTTTCTGTTTTCACCGTTCCCTTGAGTTTGAAAAATGGGGATGAAAATGGAACATATCCTAAAAAGAAATGGTGTTTATCACCCTTGGAACCGAAGGCTACGGCAAGAACACTTGAACATTGATGCAACTGAGCTGGATTGTCAAAATGAGGACGAAGTAGGCATCAAGCAAAAAGGTCTCGAACACGTGTCAGTGATGAGAACAAATGCAAATAGGAGAGACTGCATTCGCCAGGGCGGCATGAGGGTGGGGCGAAATGCAGTCTCTCCTAAAAAGAAAACATGCACTGATCATGGATATCTTTTGCACAATGAACATCTGTTGAACAAGCATTCGAAAATTGTAAACATCTGCAGCATGAAAGAAGAAGCATCACTTTGACCTTGACCCCAGCCAGCTGATTCGAACACGAATCTTCCTTCAGGTGATAATTCGCACTCATGACTGACCGCTATATTATCACCCTTGGAACCGCAGGCTACGGCAAGAACACTTGAACATTGATGCAACTGAGCTGGATTGTCAAAATGAAGTTGCACTGCAAGGATTCAAGCTGGAGCTGCTGTCACGTTTCTTTTAACCTGTGGGTGAGATCACAGCCTGGTCGCCTCCCCACATTTCAGCAAGGGCTGTGAGTCCCACCCAAAGGTCATCACCATTGACATCACACCTTTGTGCCCCCATACTGATAACCTTCTCGCAAGACAACCTGGAAGGCCCGTCAGACAGATTGGAGTCTGTTGGGACTCGAGCATACCATGGCGTGATCTGCTTCAAAATCTCCAAGGCCATTGTGGCCACCAAGATCTGATTAGCCACAGGGTTGGGCGTTGTACACGCGATCAGAGTATCACGCACACGACCCTGTGGCAGTTTACCGGGTCCGGTTGGGGCCTGTGATTTTCTACTGGAAAATGAATGTTGTATAAATTAAGGACCCAAGAAAATTTAGCTACAGACATCAAACCAATTTGAGGTACCCTAGAAAAATGGCAACCCCCAAGAAGTGCATTTTCGACAGGAGAGAGATGGGACTAGATTTTAAGCATGTTTAAACAAAATAAAATGACCTACCAGTGCCCCTCTAGAAAATCAGGGACCACTAGAAAATCTAGGAACGTCCTCCCAGAGATGCTAAAATTATGCTCCTGGATTTTGGGCACTTAAGCTACCCAGAAAATCAGGGTCTCCCGACTCAGAGGTCTCCAAAAGTTGTTCTGTAGAAAATGAGGGGGTTGATAAAAGCAGCCTTTCATCAAAATCGAAGAATTTTCGCACCAGAAAATCAGTCCTTCTTAGGGGGGTTGACCCCCCTGAAATCCTAGAGGAAACTCACACCGGTATACGCACACCATTGTTGTCTGTGTAAATCACGACGGCATCATTCACAACATCGCCCCACAAAAAGAATGAGCAGAAGAGGGAGAAAAATTCGCACTCATAAATGGTCGTCTTTTTGCTGCATGGGTTCAACTTCTTCACAACAGTCGGTGACAACCTGTGCGAGAAAAACTTCACCGGTTCACCTGCAGGATTGAAAAGGACTGCGCCAATCCCAGCCATGATTCCATCTTCAAAGCTGTCGTAACAGGCATCGGTCTGAATAAACCATGGTTTCTCTGCAGCCATCTTCAACTCACGGGGCCTGCCAAGCTCCAGAAAACGCTTGTGCAGCTGCAGGGAAAAGAGTGTCTCATCAGACAATGTAGAACTACTGGAGTTGTGTGCATGAAAGGATACTGCCGCCAGCGCGCACTTGGCGATCCTCCCAAAAACTTGCCCTGCGGCAAATTGCAGTCTGCCACGTAGTCTAAGTGCATCATGTTTTGCAAGCTGCCTTGACTCAATCACCTTAGAAATGAACTCAATAAGCTCGCGCCGCCTGCTTTCAATGTTACCCACCGTGACAAGTCCCACATGCAATGATTGCACACATATGTTCACACCCAACGCCTGAAACAGTTGGTTGAATTCAGGCGCCTTTTCGCCAGTCTCTGCAAAGACCCATCCAAGAAGCTTAAAGTACATATGAACACATGAAGTCACTGCGGGCCTCTCGGACTCCATTGAAAGAGAGACGAAATCGTCAAAGTAATTGGTCATCAACAGCTTGAACTCTTTGACAAGAACGTACCACAGGCTGTGTGATATCCGCAGGAACGAGTGCACTGAGCAAATTGACCCAAAAGGTAAAGCTCTCATACGAAAAGCCGCAAGTTCATGGCTCTGAGGGTGCTGCACCATTATGTAGGAGAAGGCTGCTGATGATGGCTTCACTGCACACTGACGGTAGGCTCCCACCAGATCGAAAGTCCTACCGTACCATTGCTCACCTCCTTCAAGTTCAGACATCAGGCGAACGCACATCGCTGCAAAAACATCTAGGGTGTGAGGCTTCGGGCTCTCACAAGACTGAACACTGCTGTTCACACTTGATCTGGAGAAATCATCTATACATCTGACTTTCGCACCCTGTCGGATGCCGAATCTTCTGCTCAAGGGATAATCAGGTGGCACCTGATCAAGAGGGATGGGGCCAACAAGCGCGCCAGTTTCAACTTCCTCAAAGGTTTTCTTCCATACTTGATCACCAATGTCCCCATCACAAAGGCCAGCAAATTGCGCTCCTAGTCCATCTCGCTCTCTGCAAGCTATGTCACGCAACTCATCCAAGCTGACTGATGCAGGTTGAAACTTTGTGGGCCAAATACCAGTCTTTGCAATGCACCCCACAAGTTCAGTGCCATTCTTCATCTCGTCCACTACCCCCATATCGGGGTAATCAACCGCTCTGAGCATCTCTTCCCAAAGCAAAAGGTTTTTCTGCCTCACAACCATGACTACTTCTGCATCCATGGGCTCCTTAAGTCGTTCTTCATCAGCCTTCAGGTCAACAAGCCGACGCAGCCAATAGCCCAAACGTTTGGCCTTGTACTGAACAATGTCATGCACCTCCATTGACTTGTAAAACTCAATTGTATCTTGTAGAACATCAGGAAGTCCAGCAGTCAACACTGCTGGATGACCAAACTTCACCATTTGTCTGATGAAGTCATCCTCCTTCCACGGGATGCCCCAAATTTGGGTCTCACACACGCCTGTCTTTGGCTTTGACACATTGTTGCAAAGAGCCACAAATCTATTCACGTCATCTTCAGTGATCTGCTGCTCCGAGACAACCACTCCCCCCTGTACGCAAGAAGACGGCAGCAGTGGTGGTGAAAGTTGTAACAATTTTGCCCCTTTTGGCAGCATTGTTGGGGCATTTTGTGTGCCAACATTGATCGGAGACGTCAGCTTCTGTTGGATGCTAAACGATGGCAAATCGTCTTGAAAACCAGTCAAAGCAACTTTGCAAGAAAAAACGGGAATTAATGGTGGCAGTTTTGAGGCCTTCGGTTGTATGCCTGTCTGAGCTCGCATTGCTGACAAGGACAAATTGTCAAGCTCTTGGATTGCTGAAAGTGCACCTGGGGGCATTCGGACACCTCTCCGCTGTAGCGCCAAGACAAATTGCACTGCAATAATTCTGGCAAGACCCATTGGATATGCAGTTTCCAATGCCGTTGCAAATTTGTTTGAACCCTTATGAATGCCCCATGCCTCGTGTTTGTGAGACTTTGAAACTCCAATGCACTGTTTGTTCATGACTGCAAACTCCTCCGCATTGAATCCAAGCATTGTGCGCTTCGGTCTGCTGCTTCCATACATGCAACTGTGAAATGTTGTGAACTGCATCAAATGAACAACTGCCTGAATAAACGTAGTTTGCCAAAACAGACTGAACTGAGGGTTTTCAACACAAAAGAAACAGCCATGATCAACCGCCCATT